TTGACCTGACCTTCGCTACGCAACCCAAGGTCAAACTGATGTGATCAGTAAATACATCTTTTTAAACGCCACAACTTTTGTCTGAAACATTTTTTTGTAAAACTTATATTTTTCCTGATATTCGGGCGTCCCGGTACTTTCCGAACACCCTGTATATATATATATATATTAAGTAGAGTTCCGGCGGTTAATTATTTTTAAGTAATTCTTTAAACCTCAGAAACAGCACGACACTCAGGGAAAAAGTGTCGTGCTCATCATTTTCCGTAATTTTTTCCATAGTTATTGACAGTTCTGGAAGAGTTCTAATTCCCACGTTCTAATTAAAAAATTATTTAACCGCGCGCCGCAACTTTACTTAAACATGATTGTGTGTATTAGAACTCTGTTAGAACTATCAATATTTATTGAAAAAAATGCTAGTAATATTCAGCATGACATTTTTTCCCCGAGTGTCGTGATGTAAGAATTAAAAAATTACTTAAAAACAGTTAGCTGGAATTCTACTTATAGAGGGTAATTCACTCTGCCAGCCGAAAATAAGGGTCAATTTCAGAATTTATTTTTGATGAATTAAATCAATCAGATTCATTTCATATATCATAGTTTCGTATATGTTTAGCTACATTTACAGTATTTTTTGTATTAAAAATATTAATAAATGTAAACGATATGGGCTATCTCGCAGAGCCCATTACGCGAACTCGAAAACGGTGCAGGTAATAGCTCGTGTACGGCGTGTTTGGAATAAAAAAAATCAAAATAGGTATTAAAATTTCATTCATTTTCCACAAGTTGACGTGCGAAAATTTGGAAAAAGTTAAAAATTATGTAAATTATAATATTTTGAAGAAAACGTGCGATTTTAGGCTGAAAACAAACGATTTTTTTATTGTTATTAACAAATAGTTAACAGGAGAAAAAACTTTACGTCAACTTGTTCATTCTGCTGTTGATGTCAACCAAACGTGAAATAAAAATCGAATAAATTATTTGAATGAACGTTTGACGCGGGTGTAGTTACTGAAAGCCTATATTTATAACTTATTTATTTACTTATTATAAATTTGTAAATTTGTTATTATAAATTTATAAGGGTCTAACTCTAAAATCAGACTCCAGAACGACCTTCATAATAATTCAAGGAACAAGTAAAACATTACTTAATGGACAAATATAACGTGTATACTTTCTTCGCAAGCTTTCTATCCATGCAGATACTAGGAAAGTGTAACCCAGCTGCATTAACTTACCGTTGCGCTCGTGCGAGCGATGCATTATTATTTGTGTGTGTATGGACATGCAACTACACACACAGAATGGTATTTCACATTTTCGCGGCACAAGGCCTTTAAAGTCAATTCAGGATTTGTTTTTGGTTCCTGCAAATCTTTAAACATGATTGTAAGAATTGAAACTCTAGAATTGTCGACATTTATCGAAAAAAGTGCGAGAAATGGTTAGCACGATATTTTTTTCCCCGAATGTTATACTGGATACAATATTCGTAATTTGTGAAAAAAGCGTAATTATTAGATTTTTAAACGAGAGATTACACTCAGTAATTGAGCTCAAATTAATGGAAACTTTTATTAAAAATAATAGTATTTATTGTTTTCTTGTACTTTAAAGGAAAAAGTATCGTGCTAGATTCGCGAAGTAAGCATGTCAATTTCTCATTTTTCGATATTAAAAATACAGGATATTTTTATTTCCTGTCAGGAACCCTAGAACTATGAAAAGTTACTATTAGAACTATCGTTGTTTTTTTAAATTTGTAAAATGTCGTGCCAGTTTCACTTTTGTTTATAAATGTATTGTGAATGAAACAATTGACTGGAATTGCAAAACGTTCCTCTTAGAATTTAAATACTTTCACCTGAAGTTCATTAAAATCGGAAAAAGATATTACAATTAAATGTGTATGTGTGTGCGTGCGCGCACGCGCACGCACACACATATATACAGGGTGTCTCACACTCTTCTCCGGGCATTTTGTGGGAACGTAGAATGGGTTGATGTGAACATAAAAGTCCTATACCGTTTTGAGATATTCGCAATAATAGTCGAGATATTAATTAAAAAAGATTAAAGAAAAATGCACGCTGAATGGTAGAGGACGGACCGCTCGAGTCACAGCGCGGCCCAGTAATATAGCACGCGGATGTCGCGCGCGGTGATTGAAAGACAATGCACCACTGTCTATACTTATACCGCTGCGCTCCTACATCTTGCCGCACCGCGCTGAGATAAAAATAGGCAGAGGTGCATTGTCTTCCAATCACCGCGCGCGACATCCGCGCGCTATATTACTGGGCCGCGCTGTGTCTCGAGCGGTCCGTTCTCTATTATTCAGCGTGCGTTTCTCCTTAATTTTTTTTAATTAATATCTCGACTATTATTGCGAATTTTGCAAAACGGTATAGGACTTTTATGTTCTCATCAACCCATTCTATGTCCCCACAAAATGCCCGGAGGAGAGTGAGACACCCTGTATATATATACAGAGTGTCCCGCGTAAGTCGTACGAAAAGAAAAATATAAGTAGAACACATAAAAGTGAACAAAAATTGTATAGGTCATTTTTCAAACAACCACGTAAAATTTCGAGATATTAATTAAAATAGTTAGACATATCAAAGCGCGGCGACGCGGCAGGCGGGATATACGGCTCGCCGCGGCCGGCGAAGAAAATGGAAGAACGCACACGTACATGCACCGGCGTAAATGCCATCCGTATATACGTGTGACTCGCACATGATGACGTGTCACTCACACATTGCTGCCTATTGCAGGATTCACACCGCGTCCGATGT